TCTTCTTTGTTTCCAGCTTTCACATTCCAATCAACAGTAATTATCAATGCATCTTGATTGCATGTTTGATCAATTTCAGACTGCAGAAGTTGGTAGAAATCTTCAATTTCTTCATCTTTGGTATTATTGGTTGGTGTGTAAATTTGAATAATAGTCATATTAACTGGTCTTCCTTGTAGGCATGTGGATATTATCCTATCACTAACAGCGTTGTACTTCAGGATAGATCTTAAAATCTTCTTTTCAACAATTAGTGTGATACTGTTCCTCTTCCATTTGTCATTCCCATCATAGTGGAACATACGATTGTTGTGGATTGTTGTGCTGATTCAAAATGGCCAATACCAGTCCATTTCAGCTCACTAATGCCTAGGATATCTATCAAGCGCTCTATTCCATTTTTGACAGCTTCTAATTTTCCTAGATTCATACTTTGTACATTCCACGTTCTGATTATTAATGGATGTTTGCAGCTGTTTCTTCTCATTTTTAGTTGTGACACATCAGCAAATGAAGGTCCCGAAAGCTTGACTCCATCCATGTCATTAAGGTCCACTCTACTCTGAGGAGGCAGCTCTTCCCCAGTTGTATTTTGAGTGTCTTCCAATCTGAGGGGCTCCTCTTCTGGCACTATATCAGACAATGTTCTCCTGCTATTCGTAAGGTTTTCACTGGCCAGTTTTTTTAGAAGTAGATCACCAGGTCCTTCTTCCTAGTCTATCTTAATCTGGAAGCTCTGCTGAAACAAGTCCACCGTAGGTGACCCTGCTGGTGGCGTAGCTTCCAGCATCACAGCAACACGCAAGCCACCGCAGTATGACAAACTGACAGATGAGCTATTCCAGTGATCTGGGCAGTATATAGACTAGTGATGGAGAGCATGGCCTACTGTTTACAGGCTGTGAGACCTTGGACAGGTGACTCCACCTCTCTGGCCTTAGCTTCCTCATCAGTAAAATATGGATAGTAATAGTACCTACCTCATAACGTGGTAGGAGGCTTAAACGAGATCCATGAAAAGTGCTTAGCACAGCTACCTGCAGAATTATTATTATTCCTCATCTCCTGCCTGACTTCTTTTGCTGCAGTTCCATATTATTTCCTCTTGGTGGAAGTAGGCAATTCCTGCAGCCTTAGGCCTGAGTGATGAGGGTCTTAGCCTGGTTCCAGGCTCCTCAGAGTGAGAATTCGTGGTACCTCTCCTACTTTACCTTGTACCCCTGGTCGGCTTCCATGGCAGGACAAAGTTCTGACCACCAGAGGGCGCCTGTCTACTGTGTTCATTCCAGAATTACGCTGTGGCACTGTTAGGAAGTTAAGTTTCAGCTCTCCTGGACTATGGACAGAGGCTAGGCAAGCGGCCACATTGTAGTGTAGCCACACTATAGTCTCTACCAAGACTGGTAGAGGTGGACGGGGGCTAGGGTTTTCAGAGCAGCTAGAGGTAAATGTGATCCAAGTGGGCAAGTGCCAGGCCTGGCTAAGGAAGAAGCCAAGCAGAGCAACATCCATCATCAGATCTGTAGAGCAACTTTGAGGCTGGCGGCCAGGGTCAGGGATTCTAGGAACAGATCAGGAAACAAAGTTACAGGCATCATGGAGTTGGTGGTTAGGCCAGGGATCACCTTCTATGTGCCTGAGTAGACAGTACCGAACTAGACCAGGCTGATGGAGGAGGGGGGAGAAACTGGGGCTTGAGGCCAGTAGGGTGAGTTTCAGACTAGGTAGGAGGACAAACAGAATGGACTTCTGATGTCACAGCTGAGCTTGCTTTGATGTTGGGGACCATTTTGACGCAAGGTATGTAGAGAATGGTGCCTTCTGGGATGCTGTAGGCCAGGTAATGGGAGCTTTTCTCCAGAAGCTTGCAGGCCCAGAGAGATGGAGGTAGGGTCATTTCACACAGGTGACCTGGAGTCTGTAAAGGGAGGGGTCCACCACCAGAAGGAGTAGTGTCCTGATCGAGAGTGAGGAGATATGGACAACCCTCGGCTCTGCAAGAATCTCTCTCAGAAGGGACCCTGGTCCTGTCTGCTCTGCCAGCCAGTCTCCCCAGTGGAATGGGTATGAGCAGGCCTCAGGGACCAGATTAATCCTCTGCGTCAGCCTGCCAGCCTCTGCCTCTACTTTCCAGCACTCGCCACTGATGTCATGCACCAGTCCCTTTTCATGTCAGCGTTGTCGGCCCACCCAGACCGTTCACTCTCCGTGTGCTGGGAGCAGCACTGCAAGCTCTTGCCTGGAGTGGCAGGCATCTCGGCCTCGACGGTCGCCAAGTGGACCATTGATGAGGTGAGGAGTGAGGGACCCTTCCTCTTCCCCTTTTTCCTTCTCCTCTTCCTCCTCCCCTACTTCTCCCTCTCACCACACCCTGATGAGAGGGCTCAGAAGAGGCCCTCCTCTGGCAGAGCCTGACACTATGCCTGACACTACTTCCTGCTCATCTCTGCCATCCACACTTCATTCTAGCTTCCCAGTGTGGGATGGTGGGTTCATCCTGGTGGGGGGCAAGTGGGACATGCTAGTAGTCTGGCTGGAATCCAGCAGAGAGACAAGCGTCAGCCCCTGGGCCTTAGGATCAGGGGCCTCACTATACACGCCCAGCGCACAGAGACACACAATCCTGTTAGGCTGATAAGAAAAAGCAACACTGTCACAGCTCAGAAGGCACCAAGGCCATATAGACCAGCCTTTCCCCTACACTCACAAACCCCCACCTCCTTGTTAACATGTCTTCTTTGGTTTCCAAGGTCTTCGGCTTTGTTCAGACTCTGACAGGTAGTGAGGACCAAGCACGACTCTTCAAAGATGAGGTAAGGTGCACTTGCAGAGTGGGAGACAGAGAAGGGGTCAGTGTGCCCCATCAGCACTGCGCCCAGCTAAGGAGGGGCCTCTGTTGCCTTACCTGGATGAGACTAGGCATAGTGACCCACATCTCTGAGAAAAAGTCTGGTATGGACTGTGGCTCAGAGAGCTGGGGAACCCTCTCTGTTTGACCATCTTCAGGAAAGGAAAGCATCGTGGAGACAGAATTCCATTCATTCCTCTGCTCTCTGGCCCAGTCTCCTTTTTTCCAACTAGCTTCACCAGTGACAGTCACTAAATTACAACATATTTTGAATGGCGCAGGGATTGCTGTTTACTGCAAGGATCCTAACATACACTTAAAATCAAGACCCAACAGCTTACCAAAGATAAGAAGCAGTGAGTTGTCGAGAAAAGAATGCTAGCTTTTGGAGAGTCTGGGTTTAAGTCCGTTTACTTTCTTTGAGGCTGGGCATTTTCTTATCTGTAAAGTGGAGATATAAGGAGCCCTGGTGGTGCAATGGTAAGTACTCAGCTGCTAACCAAAAGGTTGGTGGTTCAAACCCAACCAGCAGCTCCTCGGGAGAAAGACCTGGCAATCTGCTTCTGTAAAGATTACAGCCAAGAAAACCATATGGGGCAGTTCTGCTCTGTCACACAGGGTTGCTGTAAGTGGAAATCAACTCTATGGCACCTAACAACAAAGTGGAGGTAAATGGATATAATAATGACTACCTCCCAGAGCTATTGCGAGCATTGAAAATGATGAATGTATCATTATACCAGAATGTCTAGTATAATTATATCACTACTATATATATTAATATGTAACAACATATCATCGTATCACTATATAATAATAGTATTTATCTTATCACATAATAAATCATATCACTATATGCAAATCCCTGATGTAGTGGGAGCTCAGTAAATGGTAGCTGTAGTTTTTAATGCATACTTGTTGCCATTGAGTTGATTCTGACTCACAGTGACCCTACAGAGGACGCAGTAGAACTGTCCCATAGGGTTTCCAAGGTTGTAAATCTTTATGAAAGCAGACTGCCACATCTTTCTCCCACTGAGCGGTTGGTAGGTTCGAACTGCCAACTTTTCAGGTAGCAGCTGATCGATTAAGCACTGCACCACCAGGGCTTCTCTTTTTAATGTGTAATGGTCCTTAAATAAAGAACAACTTTATCATGACTCTTCAGATTTGTAGAGTTTGAAACTGGAAGGGACCTTTGAGTTTGACTAGGACTTCCTTCCAAAGAAAACAAACATCCCTCCTGTGCACCCCCTTCACCCAGGGAAAGTGTGGTCTCACCTGCCCATAGCTGTCCAGTCTCGGTCAGATGCCAGTAAGAAAGAAGTCTGTTCCCCTTTCTCTGGAAGAATCTCTGTATCCAGGCTGATACAGCCAGTTTTCTTACCCGATCCTTCTACATGATGGAGCTCCCAGACTCCTCCCCATTCCTGGGTGCTTTCCTTGCCTCTGGACTGGTGATCTCCTTATCAAAACGTGTGTCCAGGGTTTAATCCTATGTTCCAGATCCTTTTGACCAACACACTGGGCTGCTGCTTCCTAGATGTTTTAAGTTGAGGTAAAATATACTACAGTGAAATGCACAAATCTTAAAAGTATAATTCCACAAGTTTGTCAAACATATACACCCTGAACCCAACACCTCTATCAAGATATAAAACATTTCCATTACACCGGAAAGTTCTTTCTCATTGCCTTCCAGTCAGTCCCTAGCCCCATAGACAGCCACTGTTCTAGTTTCTAGCACCATAGATTAGTTTTGCCTGTTCTTGAACTCATATAAATGGAATCATACAGCACATACTATTTTTGTGTTGTTTCTTTTTGCTCAGTGTTTTTGAGGTTTGTCCATGTTGTTGTGTGTACAGCAGTCCATGTTTATTGCTGAGTAGTGTTTCATTTTATGAGTATATCACAGTTTTCTTGTTGGTGAACATTTGGGTTGTTTTCTCTTTCCCTAAATTCGAACCGTATGTTTTCGTTAGCAAAACTGAGTTTGCACTAGCTTTATTATAGCCACATTACACCAGTTGGGAGTTCATGAAAGCCCCCAAGTGCTTTTGACATCAACTGTAATCAAACCAAGTTTTCTAGTGTGTACCTGTAGCACTGGGTTTTCTTTTTAAACTTAATGTAAAACTCTACATTTATCCCTATTAAATGCTATCTTGTTGGTTTCATAGTGTCATGGTTTTAAATCTTGATTTTGTCATCTATAATACTAATAAGCTTCTGTGTTTTCATCCAAGTCTTTAACAAACATATTTAATAAGACAGAACAGAGCTATGTGGCACCTATTAGAGAGCTTCCTTTGACTGCTAACAGGCCATAGATCAAGTCTCTTAGAGTGCAGTTTGTTCAGCCAGTTGCATCGCCACTGAAGAGCTTGGTCTTTCAGCCCATGCTTGGCTTTTCATTCTCCCTTGTTTGGAGATGGGCTGTGTCTCCCAAGAACATCTGGTGCTTGTCTTGGTTCAGCGTGGTCTTTGACATAAATAAGCATCAACCAAAAAGGGAAGGGGTAGGGGGTCATGGTGACTGCCAGCATCACAGAGGGTCTCAGAGTAGAGCAGGACCTTGGTGAGGGCTGAGGATTACGTTTCTCCCAGGATCTGGTCCATGTTATCCATTTCCCCCAGATAGGACCATGCTGCAGGGAGTGGGCTCATTCTGGCTGAACTGATGACCGAGCCTTCAGGGACACTGCTGAAGATGCTCTCTAGCTGAGGTGCAGACCAGTCTTCAGAGGATTGCTTCATGAGTGAGGGATTAGAGCAAAGTGGATACATGGATTTACAGGTAGTCTGTCCAGTCTTCTCCTAGTCTTCTTTATTGCAGCCCTTGTATATTTAATTCATTCAGCAAATAATTATTGATATCTGCTCTGTGCCTGGCCCTGGCCTATATAAGGTGATGAGGATAGAGATAAATAAGAAGAGATTCCTGCTTTCCAGAATCTCTGCATAGTAAGGGAGACAGAACTGTACATTGTTGCTTCTCATAGTGTGGTAAGAGCTATGAGAGAGGTGTGCACCAGGTGTCATGGGAGCTCAAAGGAGGAGGTGGACAGAGAGTGGCCGGCAGTGCAGCTGGATAAACACTGGAAACTTTCTGCTCTTTGAATGTGCCTTTTTCTTGGGCTCCTTGTGGACCACACGTCTCTGCTGTGATAGCATAGAGGTCTTCTCAATCAAGTTTTGACAGTGTTGATTAGATTATAGCTTAGTCAGTGTTAAATATTCCACATGTGTGTTTTTAAGGCTCTATCCAGGTTACCTTGATTTGGGAAATTCCCTGTTCCATCTTGTCAATAGCACTTTGGGCCATTGCTTAAGGTGGATTATTGTATTTGGCTCATTTTATTCATTTTACTCAATTTCTTCTGCCTTCTAGGTCAGGACATGGCCTTTTTTCTGATCTTATGCCTCAAAACTCCCTGCACACACCACCACACACAACATTTGTAAATCTTGTATGTCCTGAGATAATCCCAGTGTCTTCTTACATATCTCCCAAACTGCCAGACCCTCCAGTCTTTTCTTTGAGGAACCCAGAATCTGGGCCTCTGCAATGGCTATGGTAAGAAATCTCCAGATGATGCACAAAGCACCATACCAATGAATGAACTCTTGTAAAAATCCACAATACATACTTAACTACGCCCAGGGCTCATTTCCTTCATATTCTGAACTTTAAAATGTCAAGGCCTTTGGTCTATGGGTGGTGGCCCCAGCTCCTCCTGGACCCGGGTGTGTGACTCAGTGGGACTACTGAGAGGGAGCCTGATAATCTGACCAATACAGGGTATCTGGGACTGGGTGTGTCTGCACTGACATGTCTGCCCAGGGTCAGCAAGGCGGATAAGCAGCCTTCTGGTGCTTCTGGACTACGGATGAGCAAACTTACACCATCCAGTGGTCTTGCTGAACTGTGAGAGCTCTGTGCAGGATGGAAGCCACCACGGGAGGAGTGGGCAGCTCTGAACATTGGGAAAAGCATTGGGGTTTAGCACACTGGCAGTGGAAACAGCCTGCAGCCAGGGGTGGCAGAGTGAGTAAAAGCCAAAGGCAGAAAACACCTAGTGATTGGGAATGATCTGTAGCTTAGTCTGGTGGAGCTGGGTGTGAGGAGGGCTCACATGAAGTGGTGGACAGAGCCAGGCTTGAGGGATAGCACCCACTGAGCTGTGTAAATTGTCCACCCAGCATTCAGTGTGGTTAAGATCACAGCTCTGGAATTGCAGCACTAGCACTCACAAGCCGAATGCACCTTGGGCAAATTCCTTAGCCTCTCTGCCTCAATTTCATCATTTGTAAAATGAGGGTACTACCATTTGTGAGGAGTAAATGAGTCAATATATGAAAAGTGCATAGGACAGTGCTTGGGTACATAAGAAGTACCGTAGAAGTGTTTTATTTGGTATGATTCTTGAGAATTGATCACAGGGATGATGGCACTCTCCTCAAAAATGGGGTTCCAGTGCCCAGAGTAGGGGGTTCTTCAAGCCAAACAGTGGGACCAACAGCCATATGGTCCTCCTGCCCAGAAGCTCCCCAGCCCAGCCTAGCACACCTGCTGAGAGGCATGGCCTAGTTTGCCCCCCTTCCCGTGTCGCTAGCCCCCTGCACGCCTCCCCCACCAGCTCTCTTCATCTCCTTCCCTCCTCTACAGCAGGCTTCTTCTCTCCCTGTTCCTACCCATATACCTATATCCCGTTATTGTCGTTAGGTGCCATCAAGTCGGTTCCGACTCATAGCAACCCTGTGTACTACAGAACGAAACACTGCCCAGTCCTGCGCCACGCTCACAATCGTTATGCTTGAGCCCATTGTTGCAGCCACTGTGTCAATCCATCTTGTTGAGGGTCTTCCTCTTTTTTATTGACCCTCTGCTTTACCAAGCTTGTTGCCCTTCTTCAGTGACTGATGCCTCCTGACAACATGTCCAAACTGTGTTAGACGTAGCCTCGCCATCCTTACTTCTGAGGCCACTATTATTACCATCCTCCCTTCTAAGGAGCATTTTGGCTGTACTTCTTCCAGGACAGATTGGTTTGTTCTTTTGGCAGTCCATGGTATATTCAATGTTCTTCGCCAGCACCACAATTCAAAGGTGTCAATTCTTCTTCAGTCTTCCTTATTCATTGCCCAGCTTTTGCATGCATATTAGGCGATTGAAAATATGACAGCTTGGGTCAGGTGCACCTTAGTCTTCAAGGTGACATCTTTGCTTTTCAGCGCTTTAAAGAGGTCTTTTGCAGCAGATTTTCCCAGTGCTGTGTGTCTTTGGATTTCTTGACTGCTGCTTCCATGGGTGTTGATTGTGGATCCAAGTAAAATGAAATCCTTGACAACTTCAATCTTTTCTCCATTTATCATGATGTT